TTCTGGGGTCTGCAGGTCTCATCGAAATGAGACTTGTTACTTACCAAGAACTGGTGGAATAAATCAGAGAACAGAAAGAATGCCCTGTTTTGTGAAGCCTGTGAAAGTTTGGATGTACTACTAGTTTAATATGAGTTCTTTATTTTCGTAAACACCTTGAAGCACACAAGAATATTCTGTTTCAGTCAATCACTACGCTCTCGAGCCTGCTCAGCGACGTCGAACGGCCTCGATTCGAATCAAATTCATTTCCTTTTCAACAAACGAGGAAGCCGAAGCAGTATAACAACATCAAGCAGCCATGGTAATCATCTTTTCGTACTTTAAACAGTTTTCCGTTTATTTGGATTTTACAACAGATGAAACTTCCTCATTTTGCTCATGTGTGGTGATCTCCTGCTTTTATAGCAACATGATGGTTCTGGTTATTATGAACCGGTTGGGTGCCTATTTGTTCGCTGCGGATGCCGGAGCGTGTCAGAGGGGAGGCGTAGATTCTGTGCTCCACCAGCCCATTTTTCACCAATTGTAGTCTCTTGCCTGTTTCCAGAATTGGTGGAGGGCGGGCTGCACCTAACCCAGCCACTGGCACGTCTTACTATTAGCATCTGCAGCGATCAGCGACTGTATTTAGCATGTGAAGAGGAGAAATAGTTCTGATAACACGTGAAAAATATCCCCTAAATTTTTTGAGAAGTTCTTGAATGATCCTGTTTAATGATTTTTCACTTACGAAATTATGGGTTCACCCTGAGTACAGGATTGATAAGGGAGGGGTATTGATTTTTCTCAGAAGGCGGTTGATGACGGGTGAGATAGAGACATCGTCAAAGAAACCTGAGCTGAACTTCTACGCGACTTCTACAGGGGGGGGGGGCAAAAAAAGTCACTTTCCTTCATTGACTTTCGAGGCGCTATAAGTTACACTTTATAAATTCTGATCGGACATTTCTACCACCATATTAAAGAGCATATTAAATACTATCATGATACTCCGCCACAGCCTTCTGGACGAGCGCCATCGAGAGATTCTGGCACGCGACCGCGATGTGGTGCCTGAGATCAGCGAGATAGTCGATTTCTCCGCCACCGTAGACCACCCTATTGAACTCCGCCCGAACCGGGTAATTGAGGGATTCAGGTCAGGTGACCTACTTGGATATTCCATCTTCTTTAGGTACTCAGCCCCTTCCATTCCAAGTAGGCGAGAGTTTCTCCAACGCCCTTCGATTCCATGTGGTGGCACCCAATGCTGTAGCAGTACAAAGTTTCCAAGAAGGTACGGGCGACGACATGTGAGGAGGATATTCTTCACGAGTTGCTCAATGTAACCGCCAGCGCTCACCTTCAGTCCGGGGTCCACGAAAAATATTGGTCTTTCCATTCCAGGTACGTCCGGTCCATACCATCAACCCGCGCCTTGGCGACTGCGGTGAAGATGATGTCCTAGACCGTGGCGACGTTGTCGGAGCTGCTCGATGTTGGAGGTCATCCAGATCGAGAGTACTGGTCTCCAGGTAGCTATCCATGGGTGACTCCACACTAGAAGTTTCGCAGCTGTTTGGAGGTGACGTGAATTCCATAGGCCTTCTCCAGTCCGGCTGCGATTGGAGATGTTCATATTTTGGTGTACATGAAGGTGATGGGCGAGAGCCAGCTCCTACTTACCGAGGAACATCTTGGGTATCTTCCGCCCTGGTACTTTTATCCACGTCTTCTGTCTGGGCTGAACTTTGCTGTTATGTGACTCGGTCGAAGTGCCTTTTTTCGCCCCCCCCCTGTATATTGCTCTTGGAATCAATCCAGTGCGCGTTCCAGATTTCGAAATTGTCTTTGGCTTTGCGGCGGGCAGCTTTTCCTCGCTGGACCTTCCTGGATCCAGCATTGCTCAAATAAGCATCATTGAGAGGACCCCACCAAGGGGAAGTTCGTGCATGGTTGCTGGGGAAAATTGGAACAAGTATAGGAAGTTAAATTGAGGAATATGTAGGCAGGATGGAGAAGGGGTTCATACCAGAGGGGGATTCAGGGTGAGGGGGTCATACATACCTAGCCACCCAAGTCACTACTTCACACATCATAGTGCTGAACCGTGTCACCGCTCAAGCCAACGAAATCGCTCTTCTGTTTTTCGTGATTTCAGTGGTCGACAAAGCTTTGCAAGCGCGGAAATGACTTACAAAGCTCGCACCAGTTGAATCTGAGCTCATTTCACACATGCACCTGTATCACGAGACAAGTGTATGCATACTTAATGCCATTTACCTCGTGATTTCCTCCCTCTCCATCACACGGAGTTGTATAGGCGTCAAACAAAAGAAAATGCGAGTGAAATCTCGGAGAAATTGGTTTCCTAGGGTAACCAGCATTTTTTTTCTCCAAGGCGGAGAAGGTATAGCGACAAGTGGACAAGTGGCTTATCATACAAGATCCAGGGGTCAAATCCCTGGTCCTCCACAGGCGGTAAATTGGTCCAAGATTCGTCTGGAAAGCCAAAAGTACTTAAAAGAACATTGGTTATATCCCAGACTGTATAGACCACATCGCACTAAATAAGACTCTACGATTCTGAGTGGATGTAGAGTGCGTGCTGCATCCCGAAAAGGGATTGGTCAACGGCGAAGTGTTTATTATTTTTTATTTTTAACCGACATTTTCATGTCTCACTACACACCGTTCATTGCAGAGACTTCCTCTCCAACAAGCACCGCGTCATCATTTTCTGCTCAAACTGAACATGGCACCAGAAAAAATAATGTCATTATGGTCGCCCCACATCACGTAAGTAGACATTCGCTTCCACAGTTTACGAATTCTATTCAAAAAATCCAGTTTTTTAAAAGTCTGTGTTTCGTTCGTTTTTTATTTATGTATGTGTAGTCTTTTCAACTGGGCTCGAAAAGATTTATGTTGCACTGTCACGTTCAAGGATTCTGAGCCACTGCCATGTTTAAAGGCATGGTCCGTGATCAGGTATGGAAGTTGCAAATATGGCGTCGGAGGGTAGTGTGGTCCGCGACGAACAACCTTGTACCGGTTTCGCGGCAAAAAATTGTAAGGGAGGGGCGCTATAACGCAAAATAAGTTCAGTGACGCCTCCTTTTTTTCCAAAGACTCCGCCTTCAAGGCTCGCCTTTCAGCGAAAAACGAAGCTGCAGGACAAAAAAGCATGGAAATCGTCACTTGTACGGTCGTAGTTCTTGTTGGGGAAACACCTGTGTGGATGGGGGCATAGCGTTGGAGATGGAGTCCAACTGGGCACGTACAAAGTGGGATCGTAATGCGGCTCTATCTAGGGCAGTTGGCATATTTTTTCTGCTTTTTTCTTCAATATCATGTTACGCAGCACCTTGTGGTCTACAGGGGGACAATAAAAAAGTCACTTCGATCGAGTCACATATCAGCAAAGTTTTCGCAGCCCAGACAGAGGACGTGGATACGAGTACCAGGGCGGAAGATACCCAAGATGTTCCTCGATAAGCAGGAGCTGGCTCTCGCCCATCACCTTCATGTACACCAAAATATGAAGTCATCTCCAGTCGCAGTCTGACTGGAGAAGACCTTTGGAAATTCACGTCACCTCCAAACAGCTGCGAAACTTCTTGAACGGAGTCACCCATGGATGGATAGCTACCTGGAGACCAGTACACTCGGTCTGGAAGACCTCCAACATCGAACAGCTCCGACAACGTCGCTACGGTCTAATGATCACTTCACCGCAGTCGCCAAGGCACGGGTTGATGGTATGGTACCGGACGTACCTGGTACGGAAAGACCTATATTTTCTTCGTGACTGAAGGTGAGCGCTGGCGGTTACATCGAGCAACTCGAGAAGAATATCCTCCTCACATGTCGTCGCCCGTACCTTCTTGGAAACTTTGTACTGCTACAGCATTGGGTGCCACCACATGGAATCAGGGCGTTGGAAAAACTCTCGCCTACTTGGAATGGAAGGGCGTTGAGTACCTGAAGAAGATGGAATATCCAAGTAGGTCTGACCTGAACTCCCTCAATTACCCGGTTCGGGCGGAGTTCAATAGGGTGGTCTACGGTGGCGGAGAAATCGATCTCGCTGATCTCAGGCACCACATCGCGGTCGCGTGCCAGAATCTCTCGATGGCGCTCGTCCAGAAGGCTGTGGGAGTGTCATGATAGTATTTAATATGCTCTTTAATATGGTGGTGGAAATGTCCGATCAGAATTTAATAAAGTGTAACTTATAGCGCCTCGAAGTCAAGGAAGAAAAGTAACTTTTTTTATTGCTCTTCCCCCTCCCCTTGTATACAAATCCATAATCCGCTATCTGTGATGGCGAATGATCGCGGTCTTGGTCTTTAACGGGTCCACAGCTGCGGAACTGTGCCATGATCGTCAGTAGAATGTGTCAAAACGAGATTGGAGGATTTCACCTTATCTATGGGTCTCGGACTCCACCCACAGGCTAAGGATGCGAATGCAGTGTGCCGCGCTACCTTACTACAGCTAAACGCCACTTTTTCTCGTTCTCAACACTCAGCCGCCATAGGCAGCTTGCGAGTCATGTTGTTCGGTGTGGAACCTCTGCAGTGACGCGCATGCAGCACTTTGTGGATACAGGGTGGGGTTCAAGGCGGCATTCAGCTATCACAACCTTCCAGCTTCAGTTTTGCACGTTTTTGATGACGAATATGGCCCACTTCCATAGCTAAGGGCCTTCCACCTCATACATAGCAAGGATTCAGCTTGTAGATGAGCGTACAGCATACTTTCAAGCTGAATCAGGTTGAGACAAATGCTATCAAGGCTCTCCGCACTCTGATGCAGGAGGTGGCACATTTCTGAAATCCGTCGACACATTCTGGCTCAGGAAGGGTGGAGTGCTCACAACTGGAAGGCCTCAGTGCATGGCGTACTGCTTCGGGAGCCAGGCTATCGGGTCAGCCTCAGGTAGCCATTAGACATGAATCCATGAGGCTGCAACGAATTTCTTGAGTGAGTTAAAGAC